GTAGTAGTAGTAGTAGTAGTAGTAGTAGTGTAGTAGTAGTAGTAGTAGTAGTAGTAGTAGTAGTAGTAGTAGTATAGTAGTAGTAGTAGTAGTAGTAGTAGTAGTAGTAGTAGTAGTAGTAGTAGTAGTAGTAGTAGTAGTAGTAGTAGTAGTAGTAGTAGTAGTAGTAGTAGTAGTAGTAGTAGTAATAGTAGTAGTCGTAGTAGTAGTAGTAGTAGTAGTAGTAGTAGTAGTAGTAGTAGTAGTAGTCGTAGTAGTAGTAGTAATAGTAGTAGTGGTGGTGCGGTTCAAACCAGAACTCTCGCATGAGTTCCATTTGAGGCTCTCAGGAGGGACCTGGGGGAGGCGCCGTGCGAGGCGGAGCCCGGGGCCTCCAGGGGCTGGGGGAGAGCCAGAAAAGGTGACCTGGGAGGGAAACGTTACGTAAGTGCAAAGACGCCCCAAAAACGAACACCCCGACGCAGCACCACCTCCAGCGGCAACAACAAAAACCGCGAGGACCTTTCTGAGGCCACCAGGAGATTCCATTGTGCATACTCCTAGGTAGGGCCAATGCTTGCGAAACTCCACGGGGAGACCCGCCGGATCCCCACATAATCCAGCAGGATCCCGCATGATCCCCCATAATGCAACAGGGTCCCGCAGGACCCCGCAGGATCTCTCATAATGCCGCAACATCAGCAGCTCTCAAGACCTCCCAGAGGCTCTCAGAACCTCTCAGAACCTCGCAGAGGCTCTCAGAACCTTTCAGAACCTCCCAGAGGCTCTCAGAGGCTCGCAGAGGCTGTCAGAACCTCGCAGAATCCTCAAAGGCTCTCAGAGGCTCTCAGCATCTCTCAAAGGCTCGAAAAAATCTCAGAGACTCTCAGAAGCTCTCAGAAGCTCTCAAAGGCTCTGAGAGCATCGCAGAGGCTCTCAGAACCTCACAGACGCTCTCCGAACCGCTCAGAAGCTATCAGAAACTCTCTGGGGCTCTCAGAACCTCTCAAAGGCTCTCAGAACCTCTCAGAAGCCCTCTGAACCTCTCAGAAGCTTTCAGAACCTCTCCGAGGCTCTCAGAACCTCTCAGATACTCTCAGAACCTCTCGGAGGCTCTGAAAACCTCTCTGAGGCTCTCAGAGACTCTCAAAGACTCTCAGAAACATTCAGAGGCTCTCAGAACCTCTCAGGGGCTCTCAGACACTTTCGCAGGCTTTCAAAACCTCTCAGAGGCTCTCAGAACCCCTCAGAGGCTCTCAGAACCTCTCAGACGCTCTCAGAACCTTTCAGAAGCTCTGAGAACATCTCAGGGGCTCTCAGAACCCCTCAGAGGCTCTCAGGAAGTCTTAAAGGCTCTCAGAACCTCTCAGGGGCTCTCAGAACCTTTCAGAGGCTCTCAGAACCTCTCAGAGGCTCTCAGAACCTCTCAGAGGCTCTCAGAACCTCTCAGAGGCTCTCAGAGGCTCTCGAAAGCTCTCAGAACCATTCAGAGGCTTTCAGAACGTCTCAGGAACTTTCAGAGGCTCCAAAAAGGTTGTGATCTCACCCGTCCCACGCGTCGTGGACGGTTGTGATCTGGCCCGTCCGGTTGTGATCTCGCCCGACCGGTTGTGATCTGGACCTTTCTACCTCGCGCACGGTGGCGGGGGCCTCCTGGGTGCAGGCCCCGCGGGCGCGCTGGGCTGACATGGCCTCGCGCTCGAGGCAATCCACCGAAAGGCTGTTCGCGCCTCAAATTGCGGCGCTGCCCAGCGCGGTGGCGTTCCCCCATCAGGCCGCTTTGCCCCCTGCCGGCGCCCCGCTGCCACGGCGCGCGCCGCCTCTGTCTGCGCCGCCCCCCGGTGCAGGTCAGTCTCCGTCGCGCTCAACTCCACGGCCGCCTTCGCGAACTCGCCCCCCGTGCCCCCAGGCGCTTTGTCGGCCCCGCGCTTCCTCAACAATTGTTGCTATGCATCTTCCTTTTTGAACCTCTTTTGGGGGGCCCTAAACGGCGCGGCGACGCGCCGGTCGGCGGCCCCGGGATTTCTCTGGCGAGGCAAAGGTTTCCACTCGAGGCCCCTCCAGAAAGGGCCCGCGGCGGGGTTCGCGCGAACTCCGCCCTGCGCCCGCGAACGATCAGGGGATCCACAGCAAGTCAATAAATCCCGAGCCAATATGCTACCACTGGCGCTGCAATGCCTCGCCCTCTGCTGCAGCGACAGCTGCGCCCTGAAAGCCCACCGCGGCACCTGCGCGAGAAAAAACATCACCGCTCCAAAACGCTAGCGGCACTGACCTGCCGATTTTTCCAGGGGCGCACGCAACCGGACATTGCGACGAAAAGCTGGCCACGAACCAGTTGCGCCGCGGCGTGCGCGGCGCCCGTCGCGGGGGGGGGCGAAGGCTCGAATGGCGAAAAAATGCACCTCATGCTGCGATCTTGCGCTTCGCCCCCGTCGCCCCGACCTCGCGCGAACGCCGGCCGACGGGCGCCAGCCCCTGCGCGGCGGACGCCGCGCCTGCAACGCGGCGCATTCAACATGTTGGGGCATGCAAGAATGCCGTCTAGGTTTCATCCAATAGCTCCTGTCGGGGGGCCAAGGCGCGCTGATCCGACTCCGACCCAGGGGGGTCGACGACGCGGAGCGCGGCAACGGCTGGCGACCGCGGCGGGCACTGGCCAAAACTGGGGCTGGGGCAGGGCGGCCGCGAAATCCCGGAAATGTCACTGCGCGCGCCGTTTTGGGGCCGGGGGCCACCGCGCGGCCCTGTGACTCGTCGACCCACCGACGCTCGAGACACCCTCAGTAAAACGCCCGAATCCCAAAAACGGGCGGTGACCCGTTTACACTTTTTTCGGGATTCCGTGCTGGCGGAACCAGGGGCGCGGAGCAAATTCTCGCGGCGGCCTAGGACCACCTCCAAGGAGGTGGCAAGGCAAAAGGCGGGCGCTTGAGCGACCGACTGGGCGCGCCACGAAGGGGGCATGCGCCCTCGCGAGGCATGCGCCTCGTCGAATTGCCTTTCGGGCCACCGCCGCTGCCGCTCTATGCTGCTCGCTTCGCTCTTTGGAGGGCAGAGGGGGGGGGGGGGGGGGGGCGAAGCGGGGGAAACCGGGCGAGGCGGAGGGGGAAGGAATAGGACAGGGGGGGCGGGAAGAGGGGGGGAGGAATGCGGAGAGAGGGCGATGGAGATAGGACGATGCGATTCGCGCTTGCTCAGCGAACCTACGTTGCACCCAGCCGCCCAGCGGAGGGCGCCCCAGGATGAGCGCCAGAGTGCTCGCGCAACGCGCGCCAGCATACTCGCAGCGGTCTCGTCCAAGATGTCGCCGCACTACTGCGCCCAAAAACGAAACAGGAAGACCACGCGCGCAGGTCGGGCGACAATCTCTCGCGTTGAGCAGCGCGCCACGGCCCCGACAATGCGCGCGTGCGGGGCCAAGCGCCGAGCGCCTGAGCCCCGCGCTACATGCGACCACTGGGGCCCAAGCTGCGCGAACGACTGGGCCATCCAGTGCGCGCCAAACTCACCGCGCCGTGCTCTCGCCGTACCGTTTTGGGACTTCCAACTCTTGCCGCGCGGGTCTGGGGCCCGGGGCCATGTGGGAGCGCGTCCGCGCGGGCAGAGTATGCGGGGCCGCCGGCTGCCAGCGCTCCGGCGCCTTCGACGCCCCTGGGATGCTAGCCTGCATGCCGACGCGCGTCTTCCAGGGCGCGCTCGCGCAAGCCCCCTGCTTGACTCTGCGCCGCGCGCCGTTGGATGCCGCGCCGTAATCGATGATGCTGCCGCGGCCTTTTTGCGCGCGTGGTCGCGCACCCACCTGGCTGCGCCATTGTGCCTCGCGCGAATTCCAGCCGCCCCGTCTGGTCTAACGCGCATGGCGCCACCCAGGGGTCGGCTAGCGACTCCGACAAGCATGTCAGCGCTCTGAATGGAACCCGACGCGTTCTCGCAGGCGTTGAGAGGCACGCCAGGAGGGATTCGGGCGCTGACGACAACAAAAACAGTTACCCCATTTCAAATGCACCGTAGACGGCGCGAGGTGACGTCTCGCCTGCGTCGCACACTGCAACGCTGACAATGGAACGTCGTCGTTGCCGGGTGGGTCCTCATCCTGATCCAATCTCCTCCTCTGCTACCTGGTTCGGCCTTTCGGACGAAGCAACTGTTAATTTCTACCCGCACGTCTGCGACGTCTGCATCCGCTGTTCCTGTTTGGCCTGCACGATGTGCGTTTCGGCTGCCATGGAACCCTGCGCCTCCTTCGGTAATGCCCTGGCGAAGCCCGTGTCTTGGGGCCCCCACTCCGCGGCGCTGCCGAAAACCAGCGTGCGGGATTCGTTGGGAGTGGTCAGCGCTCCGGGCCGCGCCGCAGAACCAAGCACGGCGGAAATGTGGTGCCAGCCTCAACCATCTCAGGGGCCGGCCCATGTTTGCCGCCCCGCTGCCCCGCCTGCGTGGAAATTCGCCACCGCGCCATCGAGCATGGCTCGGCCGCAAAGAATGCCGTTCCCCTCCAGCATTCGCCATCTCAGGAGCTGGCTTAGCCCCGCCGCCCTGCTGCTCCGGGAAGCTGACGTCCTCGGAACGGGGCGTTCCCAACCCGAGGACTCTTCCATGACTTGCCCCAACGGCCTGTCAGCGCAGGCGCCGCCAGCAACGCGAAGTTGAAGTCAACATGCTGCGGTATTGGACAGATCCCCCCCGTATCCCGCCCGGCCTGTCGGCGCAGGCGCCACCAAAGCGAAGTTGAAGTCCGCCTCCCGCGCGGCCAGTGCCGCGCCAATATCCTATGCGAAACCGAAGAAGACGCGGAACACCTGCTGCACGTGGTGCGCCGCGCCTCCCCTTCCACACGAGCGACGAAAACTGACGGGCTTCATGCGAGAAGACATCGCGACCTTACGCCGCAGCTTGCGCGGGCCGCCAGCGTGGCCCACCGCGTGGAGGCGAAGGCGCTTACGCGCGGCCGCGGGAAGCTTACGGCCTTTCGCGGGAGGCTCGCGCGAGAAAAATGGCGCATTCGACCCAGTTTTTTTCCGTCGTTCGCGCAGGCGACGGCGGCGGAGGCGGCGAGTCGGGCAGGCAGCGCCACACGCACGCCAATGCGATGTTGAGCAGGCGGGCGGTGTTGAGCAGGCGGACGGCCGAGAAGCCACCCCGGCTATGCAGTGGTCTCTTGGCCCGCTGAGCCAGGGAACCGGCAAGGGCTGCCGAGTGCGCAAAGCTGTGAGACGGCGGCCGGTGCGCTCGACGAGCTGGGCACAAGATGCTGGTGGCCTGGGAGAGGCACGGGCCAGCGAGTCGGGCGCGCCCGCCTGGGCAGAGACGCGCGCGCAACGCCGTGCGCGCCCCTGCGCCCTCGGCGCGTTCGCTGCCTTCGGACTCGCCGTGGCCGACGTGCTCGTCGCCGCACTTTTCGCGCGCACGTTTCGCGCTGCCGTGCGCGCGTGCGGAGTTGCGCGGCTCGCACTCGTCATCGCTGGGACGTCCGTCCGCCGTGCAGTGTCTGGTTTCGTGCGCTTGCTTTCGTTGTTTGCTTCATTGTTGTTATTGCTGTTTGTTGTTTAATTGTTGGTTTGTCTGTTCTCTCTTTCTCTCTCTCTCTGTTTCTTTTGTTGTTTCTCTCTCTCTCTCTCGCGAGAGAGAGAGAGAGAGAACAAAAAGAAACAGAGAGGGAGAGAGAGAGACGGTCCAAGATGCTCCAGGATGGTCCAGCCTTGGGGCGGGCAGAGCGCAGGCGCGGTGGCGTGGAGGCGGGCGGCCAGCTCCGCGCCTTCCTCTGGAATGCCGACGGGCGGCGCTGTCGCGGGACGGAAAGCCGCCACCGCCGCTGCCACGGCATGCCTGCGGCCACCTGCAGCCGCCGCGTAATTACCGCACGGACGCCTCCACCGCTGGTGGCGGCACCGGACTACAAGCGCATTGCAGACGCACGCCCGGGCAGCCTGTAACAAGACCGGGACCGCTCAAGCGTATACACGTCCGAACGCGCTGCAACTTGTGCCAGCAACATCGTTACGGAGGGGGAAAAATGGTGATGAAATGGGTAGCCATGTGCGGAATACCGTGAACATGAACATAATCCGCCGTCGTGCCTGCACTCGGAATAATGCTATCGGGGATCTTCTGACCAGGGTGAATCCAGACCCGGGTCAGCAGGAAACCAAAAACTGCAATGCAGGAAAACAAAACAGCAACGCAGGTCTTCGCAAACCCGGGTCAGCCAATAGGCGCGGCCGCCTCGCGGCCACGAGCGGCTCGCTAACCCGGGTCAGCCAGAGGGGGTCTTCGCAGGATCCTGCAGGCTCCGGCGATCTGGCTGACCCCCGTTTGCACTGACCCCCGTCTCAAGGCTCCCGATGCTAGGATAATGTTAGTTGCCCGGTACCGTAGAGCCGCTCCCCACTCACCATTCACCATTCGTCTCCCCAAAGTTTGCTCCCCTGCCACTTGCGGCCTCCAGACGGCTCCTTCAAAACGGTTGCGAGGTGCCCGAAGACCAGACGAAGACAGTCCAAAAGGACTCCAGGACTGTCCCAAGACCCGCTCAGCCACCCCAGCGATGGTTCAGCCAAGCCTCGTCAGGAGAGCTCGATATAACTTTGCGCCCACGACGGCCCCGAGGCGACCAAACGGCCACCCCGAGAGGCCTAAAAGGAGGCTCCAAGAGGCTCCAAAGAAACCCCCAGGAAGCCTTCAATATGCCTTCAAAAGGAAGGAGGGGTGTGGAAAGGGAAGGTCAACAAAAGACTACGGACAAAGAGGGTGTTGAAGACCCGCGCCAATTCAGGAAAAACACTGAACCCGAAAGGATCTTGAACTCAACCTTCCTCGTGCTTCACTGGCACGGCGGCGGGACGTGCCGCATGCAGCAGGATAGCACCAATTCTTACAAATAGAACAGAACCGGTGGCCACATGTTCGCTGTCATCGCAAATTGTCCTAACCGTTCCTGACCATATCGCCTGGGTCCCACAACAATGGCAGGAGCCGCCGGAAAACTGTAGGACTGGCGCTGGTGTAGGGACTGCTTGGAACGAGGCGAATAACAAGCATGCAACTCGTCCCCGCCCTCTTCCCTGGCGCCTCCTTCATTCCGTTCCAATGCTAGAGGCCTCCCAAATGGGGTCCGAGTAGATGGTGTCGGGTCGGAGGATCGCGCCGATACATCTGCGATGTATCGGCGATGCACCAGTGATGCATCGTCGATATCGACGATGCATCGGCGACGTCGACGTGAAGCAAATCGGGCTCCGCATCGAGCCGCATTGGCGATACATCGGCGATGCATCGGCGATGCGGCGAGATCCTCCGACCCCATCTACTCGGACCCCATCTAGGATACCTGGAAACACTATATCCCTCAAGTGTTGCCTACGCGCGCTCCGTATTAATTCGCCACTGCGATCCTAGACAGTGGGAGCCTGGACACAAGCGGGTGGGCGGGGCCGCGCTGACCCGGGTCAGCGTTAGCCGCGATCAACCAAGGCCACGTCCCGAACCTGAGCTGGCCACAAGGTTGCTCCCAACTCCCGGGCCAAGGGAGATGCTCTGGACGCCCGAAATGGTTACGGGAGAAATGGGTACAATGCCCGAAAATACATTCTGTCCAGAATCGACAGCGGCCGCTGTTCGGCAGGCAGCTTTGTCTTCAAAGAACAACGTCCGCGGCGGCGCGGACATCGAGTCCTGTTCAGAATGAACAAGAACTGCTGTAGGGCATCGTACCCATTCTTTCCGTACCCATTTCGATCGTCCCGAGACGTGGAGAAGGGGTCGACTCCACATGGTTCCCCAACCCGCATTGGCCAGAGGTGGTCAGAACATATGGGCAAACCCCCATCCCAGATAACCGACGCCGTATTTGCATGTGCTGCTTGAGTCTGGCTTGCATCCCGACGCATTTTTCGACGGTCCCAGGGGCCCAGGAGGCCCGATCACGGCCCACGGATGCCGAAAACTGCAGCCTCAAACACTCGCCGTCGTGACTTCTTCACGGCGCGAGGTGGTCTGGGGTCAGCGCTGACCCCAGCAGCGTGCCCCGCGATCGGGGAGACGTAAGACTCAAGTTCGGGGGACTCGGGTTTGCTTGACAAGGGCCATCATGAAACTGATGAGACCCAATCTAGAATTGGACGCAAACTCTCGCTGCAGACATCCCACGAAAACTGGACCGTCAAAATCCAGGACGCGCTCGCCAGAAAGCGTCGGCAAACCCGCGTTCCTGCGTACTTGAGTCTTACACGTCGGTCGGAAGAAGAAGAAGGCAAAACCATGAAATACAGGGAGTTCAAACAACTTTTTTCTTGAAGCCAGGAATTCACAAGACTAGGTTGTCGCGTAGATATCGCAGCCTCGAGGCGGGGCACAGAACCAAACTAGGAGTTCTAGAACCAGGAGTCGAAGCCACGACGCGGCATTTCACTATACAAGGTTTCATCTAGCAAATCAACGCGCCACGGATCATTGCGGTCGTGCTGGGCCATCGTGCTGAGGGTTGCGCTGCTGGTCGAAGGAGGTTGTGCTGGGGGCTGATGCTGCGGGGTTGTGCTGAGGGGTTGTGCTGAGGGGTATTGCCGGGAGATTGTGCTGGCGGGCTGTGCCGGGGGGTTGTGCCCGGCACAACCCCTAGGGGTTGTGCCGGGGAGTTGTGCCGCGGAGTCGCGCTGGGGGGTTGTGCTGGGGGGTTATGCTAGGGGGCTGTACTGGGGGGTTGTGCTCGGGGGTTGTGCTAGGGGGTTGTGCTGGGGGGTGCTGGGGGGGAAAAGGGCCAGGGGGTTGTGCTGGGGGTTGTGCTGGGTGAAGTGTTCCAGGCGCGCCGCGCCCCGTGGAGAGCCCCGAGTCTCCTCCCCGAGTCTCGTCCCCGAGTCTCCTTCCCGAGCATCTTCCCCGACTTTCGTCCCCGAGTCTCGTCCCCGAGTCTCGTCACCGAGTCTCCTCCCCGACTGTCCTCCCCGAGTCTCCTCCCCGAGTCTCGTCGCCGAGTCTCCTCCCCGAGTGTCGTCCTTGAGTCTCGTCCCCGAGTCTCGTCCCCAAGTCGCGTCCCCGAGTCTCCTCCCCGAGTCTCCTCCCCGAGTCTCCTCCCCGAGTCTCCTCCCCGACTCTCGTCCCCGAGTCTCGTCCTGGAGTCTACTCCCCGACTTTCGTCCCCGAGTCGCGCCCCCGAATCTCCTCCCCGAGTCTCGTCCCCGAGTCTCGTCCAAGAGTCTCGTCCCCGAGTCTCGTCCCCGAGTCTCCTCCCCGAGTCTCGTCTCCGAGTCGCCGAGTCTCGTCCCAGAGTCTCGTCCACGAGTCTCGTCACCGAGTCTCCTCCCCGACTGTCCTCCCCGACTCTCCTCCCCGAGTCTCCTCCCCTAGTCTCGTCCCCGAGTCTCGTCCCCGAGTCTCGTCTCCGAGTTCCCGAGTCTCGTCCCCGAGTCTCGTCCAAGCGTCTCGTCCCCGAGTCTCCTTCCGACTCTCCTCCCCGAGACTCGTCTCCGATTCTCGTCCCAGAGTCTCGTCCCCGAGTCTCGTCCCCGAGTCTCGTCCTCGAGTCTCCTCCCCGAGTCTCGTCCCCAAGTCTCGTCCAAGAGTCTCGTCCCCTCGTCCTCGAGTCTCGTCGCCGAGTCTCCTCCACGAGTCTCGTCCCCGAATCTCCCCGAGTCTTCTCCCCGAGTCTCGTCGCCGAGTCTCCTCGCCGAGTCTCGTCCCGGAGTCTCCTCCCCGACTCTCGCCCTGGAGTCTACTCCCCGACTCTACTCGCCGACTCTCCTCTCCGAGTCTCGTCCCCGAGTTCCCTCCCCGAGTCTCGTCCCCGAGTTCCCTCCACGAGTCTTCTCCCCGAGTTCTCGCCCCGAGTGTCCTCTCCGAGGTCCCTCCCCGAGTCTCTCCCCCGAGTCTGCTGCCCGACTCTCCCCCCCAAATCTCCTCCCCGAGTCTCCTCCCCGACTCTGGGCTCTCTTCTGGGGCTGTCCAGTGTCCCCTGTAGGAAAACAGTTGGGTCGTGATCGAAGTCTTCTGGAGTCCTGATTACAATAATTTTCTAACAGAAAGACGCTTGGATCGTAATCCAAGTATTCTGGGATCCTGATTTCAATGATGGGGGTGGTTCCTGGGGGGCTGTACTGGGGGTTGTGATAGGGGGTATGTGTTGTAGTGGGTTGTTCTGGGTGGTTGTGCTGTTGGGAAGGGGTGTTGGGGTGCTGAGGGGTTGTGCTGGGGGGGTACTGGGGTTATGCCGAGGGGATTGTATTTGGGGGTGTGCTGGGGGGTTGTGCTGGGGGTTGTGTTGCTGGGTTGTGCCAGGGGGTTGTGCCAGGGGGTTGTGCTGGGAGTTGTGCGGTGGGGTTGTGCGGTGGTGTTGTGCTGGGGCGTTGTGCTGGGTGGTTGTGCTGGAGGGTGGTGCTGGAGGTTTGTGCAGAAGAGGTTATGCCAGGGGGATTGTCCTGGAAAGTTGTGTTGGGAGGTTGTGCATGGGGGATTGTGCTGAGGGGTTGTGCTGGGGGGTTATGTTGGTTGGTGGTTGTGCTGGGGGTTGTGCGGTGGGGTTGTGCTGGGGAGGGCGCTGGGGGGTTGTGCTTGGGGTTGTGCTGGGGGGTTGTGCTGGGGGGGCTGTTGGCTGCTGGGGGGTTGTGCGTTGTGCGTGCAAGGGGTTGTGCTGGGTTTGTGCTGGGGTGTTTGAAAGCCGTGCTGGAGGGTTGTGCTCAGGTGGTTATGACGGGTGGTGCCGGGTGATGTCTTGGGGGGTTGTGCCGTGTGTGTGTGTGTGTGTGTGTGCTGTGGGGTCTTGCCCGCGGGGTTGTGCTGGGGGATTGTGCTTGGGGGTTGTGCTAGTTGGTTGTGCTGGGGCTTGTGCTGGGGGGTTGTGCTGGGAGGTTTATGCTGAGGGCTGTGCTCGGGTTGTGCTGGGGGGTTGTACGGTGGGGTTGTGCTGGGTGGAAGCGCTGAGGGGTTGTTTGGGATTGCGCTGGAGGTTGTGCTGGGGGTTGTGCTGAGGGGTGCTTGTGCTGGGGGTTTGCGGGGGTTAAGGGGGTTGGGGGTTGTGATCGGGGATTGTGCTGGGGGGTTGTGCTGGGGGGTTGTGCTGGGGATTGTGCTGGGGGGTTGTGCGGGGGGGTGTGGGGGGGTGCTGGGGGTCGTGGGGGGTTGTGCTGGGAGGTTTTGCGTTGTGGTTGTGCTGGGGGGTTGTGCTGTGGGGTTGTGCTGGGGGGTTGTGAGGTGAGTGTTGTGCAGGGGGGGGTGCTGGGGGGTCGTGCTGGGGGTTGGGCCTGGGGGAGTTGCTGGGGGGTCGTGTTGTGGGGTTGTGCAGAGGGTGTTGTGCTGGGGGGTTGTGTTGGGGGGTTGGGCTGGGGGGTTGTGCTGGGGGTTTGTACCGGGGGGTTGTGCTGGGTGGCTGTGCTGGGGGGTTGTGCTGGTGGGTTGTGCTGAGGAGCTGTGCTGGGGGCTTGTGCTGTGGGGTTGTGCTGGAGAGTTGTGCTGCGGGTTGTGCTATGGCTTGGGTTCAGGCCCTCATAGATAATAACAGAGCACAGCAAACGCGCATCGTTTCTGGAAGCAGGAAGGCGCTAGAAGTAGATTCGGATCTGAAGGTGCAAGAAAACCCACTTTTAACGACCGACGTGCACGTTTCCCCGACCCCAGGCGTCTCGACCTCTCGCTCGCCGGCGGTCACTTCGCCCGGCAGCCCGCGCTGCCGCCACCCACGGAGGCCTGCGAGGGCGGGGGAATGGGCGGGCACGGGGGGCCTGTGCCCGCCAGCTGACCCCAGGCGGGGCGGTGCTCGGGGGGAGGGGCGGAGGACGTCGAGGGAGAGGGAGGGAAGGACCGGGAGGGGGGATGATGCAGCGGTTGCAGAGGAGGGGTGCGAGAGGTAGAGGGCCAGGGGGGGGGGGAAATGATGATCGGAAGGAAGCGGAGAGAGGGAAGCGGAGACAGGAGGGAGGGACGCAGGGGGCATGGATGGGTGCAGGGCGTGCGCGTCCCATTGCCCATCACGGCCTCTTCCCCTTCCATGTCATCCATCTCTGACGTTCTTCCTCCTCTCCTTCCCAATCCTCGAGGGCACCCCCGAAATCCTCGTCGACCTGGTTCCTTATCAAAGAATGATAAACCCAGGTTTATAATCTTGAGATGCTACCCTATGGATTACTGTTGGGTGGATGGATCGAGCTCAGCCCACCCCTGGCTGAATCATTATCTTTCCGGAATAATCAACCTAATACGATTATCATTCCAACATTATGGACCAGGGTTGATCTCAATGCGGAGCGTACTCTCCAACAGCGCCCCCCCGGCTGAATCATTATCATTCCAGAATAATTAGCCCGGGGTCCATATTTCGGGAACGTTATAAACCCGGGTTAATTATCTTCTGGAGATAATATACCGGGGACAATATTCCGACATGAGAAACCCGAAGAAGCACCCGGAAGTAAGGGGGGAAATAATAATAATTACTATCATTCTGGAATTACATAAACAGAATTCATCATTCTCGGGACATTATGAACCCAAACCAATATTCCCGGAACATTATAAACCCTGGTTAATATCTTTTTGGGGTCGATCGCTGCACAAACATATTAACCCGGGTTTATAATGTTCCGGGGGGAACATTATGAACCCCAATCAATATTCCTAGAACAGTGTAACCCAGGTTCGTAATGTTCCGGGAGAGACATTATGAACCCTATTCAATAATCCCGGAACGTTATAAACCCAGCTTAGTGTATTGTTGGGATTCATCCTGCAATCCTCCTCCCCTCCCTCGCCTCCTATCTTCATCTCCTCGTCTCCCTCTCGATCTAATCCGCATATCCTCCCAATCCTCCTCTCCCTCCTAATCCTCCTCTCCTTCCCAATCCTCCTGTGATTGCTGCCCCTCTTTCTCCTGATCCTCCTCCCTGGTGCGCCAGAGATAACGGCGCCGCGGTGGAACAAAACATGGGCGGGGCGTCGGCGAGGGCCGTATAGGAAGAAGAAGGAGGGGAACGGATGTGGATTTTTTGTTGAACGCGGACCTCCACAGTAAAGGGGCCCGGGGACACACAGTAAAATAGACACACATCCAAAGACCCCCATAGTGTTTTACAAGTTTCTGGATCGTCGTCTTCCTCCCGCACCTCCTCGCATCCCGCATTTGGGAATCAGCGATTCTTGATGTCTGTGCCACCGAGAAACGGACGCCGCATTTTGCTTGGACGCGGAACCCCAAAGAAGTCTGGCCCCCTTCCCGACAACGGGGATTGGCGTCCCGAGCCGTTTTCCTGGCGGCCCCCATGAGGCCTAGCGAGGGCCCCGGAGGCCGAAAACAGTCCCTAACGGCCTCCCGCCGCGACTGCGTTTCGCTGCTCGAAACCTTCTCAGGGGCACCTCACTTCGCGCTTCGCGTTGCGCGAAGCGCGACGAGCTTCGCTCTGCGGCGCCCCCCATGGGAGAGGAGGAGGAAGAGGATGACGAGTCGGACCCGAACCGCGAAGCGCGCATAACCCCGCGCCGTCGAAGGCACCCTTGCCTTCTGGGGAGGGGGGGCGGCCACGGTCACGACGGCGACGTCCGCCGACGAACGCACCCTCCGCCAGCCGACCCGCCAGTTGGGGCTGCGTGTGGGGGGGGGGTGGGTGGACGGGGGAGGGGGGGAGGGAGGATATTCAATGATGAATAAAAAGAGTGGATGGATGGATGACGACGATGATGATGAGGATGACGATGATGATGATGACGAATATGATGCGGATGACGATGACAATGATGGTGATGACATGGGCGACGACGAGGATGATGATGATGGTGCTGATGCTGATGATGATGATGATGATGATGATCGCGCTCTCCCAAGGAGGGGCGGCCAAGTCTCGCGCTCGCCCTCCGCTCCTGCAAATGCCACCGTGCGCCTACCTGCACCTACGGCTGGCCCCTCCCACGGGCGCGCGCGCGCTGCACAGGCGAGGACAGAACAACCCCAAGCTCAACTGCGCACCGCTACATGGGACCATCGGGCCTCCTCCCCAGGGTTCCCATGCAGAAGCACCCCACAATGATATATGAAATGGCAGCGAGGCGCTAGCCCCACGGCGGCCTACACAGGCCCCTCGCTTTCCAGCGCGTCGCTGTGCGCCCGAGCAGACTCGAGCGCTTTCTGAACCTCGAAGCGCCCCAACTCGACCTCATCGTCGCCCCCATCGTCGGAGCCGTCCAACACTCGCTGGGCCTCCCCGTAGATGCCTCCAGTTTTGAGATTCGGCGCATGATCGTGCCGCGCTTGGCCGCGCGGGTACCATCCCACTGCGTGGTGGTATCGATGCCATTCGCGGCGTCCCCCAGGCGCGCCCAGAAGTCCATCGCGCAAGCTGGCAGGGGAGGTGGCTTGGCAGAGTCGTCGTCCGCCTCCGCAGCCGCCGCCGCCGCCATGAGCTCCTCTTTGCGCGTCGCCCCCAAGCCGTGCTCATCCTCGTGATCGATCGTGCCCACGAACGCCCCCTCGGGCCGCCTGCCGCGCATGCCGCCCGCCAGCCACTCCTTGTCGATCTCAACACGGGCGCTCCACATCCCCATGCTGGCGCCGCTGTTCTGATCACGTGACCTGTAGCTGTAACTGTAACTGTGATCCCCTGGCGCTGATTTCCGAACTGTGACTGATCACGTGTTGGCTCCGCTTCACCGCCGGTTCCTTCTCGCAACTGGCAATGCATGCGGGCCGCGTCCTGCTGCGCCGCGAGCTCGTGCGTCGCGATCGTGCCATGATCGCTGAGCTCCTTAATGAGCATGGGGAATGGCGGCGCCGCTAGCAGGGGTCGTGGCCGTCCAACTCCGTCCCGATCTCGCCGTCGTGCACCGAATCGGCCCCGGCGGCCGTGGCACTTCCGCGGCAGCGACGCCCGCGCCCGCGCGCGCGATGGCCGAGTCGGGCGAGGACTCGGCCAATGTCTGCGCGGGCGGGGCGCCGCCGTCAGCAGGTCTGCCCGAGCTGTGATGTTCACCCCGCCTGCGGCGAAGCCAGCCGCCGACAGCGCGGGGCGCGCCACAAGCCTCGGCCCCTTCTGTGTTCGGCGCAGCGAGCGCGCCGTCGCCGTCCCTCGCGGCCAGGGCGTCAACGCCGAGTGGAGCGCAGCGTGTCGACGGGCGACTTGATGGCCTTGCCGTGCACCATGTCCTCCAAATGCGCCGACACCACCGCCAGGCGCTCCGCCGTGTCGGGGTCCCCCACCGACTCCACCAACTTCTTGTAGCGGTTCCGCGAGAAGCGCACCGCCAGCTGAAGGTCGTGGACGAGCACGTCCCCCGACCAACGGGCCCACGCCTGGCCAGCTCGGCGCCCTTGCCGCCGCGCCGCACACGGGCTGCACACATCGCCGCCGGACGCGGCCTCCTGCGAGGGGGCCGCTTCCGCGCCATCACAAGCCGCACCAGCTGCCCGATGGAAGCTGCCCCAAGGGCTTGAGCCAAAATGGTTACGGATGATGATGGTAATGATGATGGTAATGAGGATGATGATGATGATGAGGATGATGCTGATGATGATGATGATGATGATGGTGATGATCCCTTCAGCTGCGGGCGGCGGTCCTCCTTGCCAGCAGAGCTCGTATCGCCGGCGAGCATTTGGTGAGCAAGCGGGCGCGGGCGTCGACAGCTCTCCGAACATCGGCCGCAGAGACGGTGGCGAGAGAACGAATTTGGGTAAATGCAGCAAGCGTGAGGTCATGAAAGATAGCAATAGAGAGAAGACAGTCAATAGCAGACACACCCACGCGAGATAATAGAATCCGAGACTTGGCGGGAAGCGTAGTCCAACATAAAGAGAACGAGCGAAGATGAGCGGAGGCGGCGGCGGCTAGGACAGGACAGGTCATATAGTGGCGGAGGTCATCCCCGCCAATAGCATAGCAACCTGCCTGGCTAGTTTGACATCCCTGGCGGAAGCGTCGAGACGTGCACCATGCAGTGCACATGCTACGAAGTACCGCACACGTGATGAATGTAGGCAGATGCTTACTACTAAACCTAGACTGGTCGTGCACAAATCGGCGTCATGAGGGGTCACATCGGGCTGGAGGTGACGGAGGCGGGGGAGAAGGAGGGGGGCAAAGGGGGACGAGGGAGCGGAGACACAGAGGAAACGAGATACCAGCCTCTGAATATCGATCCTCGCAAGATCGGGAAAATGCGACATGAAGCTGGGCAGCGCACGAATCGAGATGTAGTTGTTGTGCAACTGGTTAAACATAGGATCTTGAAAAACTAGGTGGTGTTCGAATGCGATCACATGCTCGGGGTCGTCGCGGACATCGTCGAGCTCCTCGGCGAAATCATGGAACATAGAAGACCTCTGCGCACATCTGAACATGGCAGCGCGGCCGTCGTCCTCGAGTCGGCGTAACTGTGGCAGCCCAGTTAATTTAATTGCTAAACATCTGACCAGTAATTGCAAACCTCGAAGCAACGGTCAGCACCTGCACACCTTCTCGCACGGCTTGATATACAGTGGGCACCGGGTGGAAGAACTGCTGCACATGGCTCAAAACGGTGTGCCCCAGCAAGTTATTATACGCAATGGTATTTCTGACCAGGCCGAGCGCGAGCGAACGGATATGATGATTTGCTGAAGGGGCCGTCCAAGAAATAACATGCAGATTCGCTCCCAAGAAAACTCCAATATAGAGGCCGCATTCCAGGATTTTGATGCGACTCGCGTTGACACCGAGCCCCCTGAACTTCTGGATCGCCTCTGGGACCGAAGCGGGCGCCCGAGATTCAGCCAGAACCCGCTGGTCTTGCCTATTTGCACGAAGGACCTGAAAGCACCGGGCAGGGAAGAGCAAACATATATATATATATATATATATATATATATATATATATATATATATATATATATATATATATATCGGCAGCCGCAGGGCCGCTGTCGTTTGTATATGCGGACAAGCACGCGTCTTGGTGAGGCAGTGGACGATCAAGGTAACGAAAGAGAGGATCGACGACAATGGCGAAAATAACACCAGAGAGCGGACACATTTGCTTTATGCCCCTGCTGATGATGTCTCCCTCATAGATGCGGCCCCCGAATCGGATATTGGTGTAGAGGTTGCTATACAAAGCGTCAGCGGCATCGAGAAGAGGCTGTGGCACCCCAGCAACGCGTAGGACGTGCTTGATGAAACTGCGGGCAAGGCTTGAGAACGCAACTTCAATCTCAATAAGGGCATACCCTGCGTTTTTGCAAGCGTAAGACGTGTACCATAGAATCGCTCCCATGCTAAGCGAGATGCTGTTATCCACCGAGGAGCGCCCTTTGATGAACCCACGCTGAAAACCAACAACTGCTACCTGCGCGTACTCTGTGAAGGGCTGGCAGACAGCGGAGGCGACAAACTTGTTACTCGTGTCGGAGAGCGCTATCGGCCTCGTGTCCGACGGCTGCTTGAACACGGCAGCGTCGTTAGTGGTAATGATGATGATGCTGATGATGGTGGTAAAGATGTTGATGATGATGATGATGATGATGATGGTGATGATGATATGGATAATGATGGTGATAGTGATGGTGATGATGATTATGATGAGAAGAATGATGATGAGGATGATGATGGTGATGATGCTATTGATGATGATGATGCTCATGATGATGGTGATGACGATGAGCGAGCGAGCAAGCGAGGACGACAGCGACAGAGACGAAGTTCCGCGGGCCGACGACGAGCCGAGCTTTCGCCATGCCCCCCGCTGGGCGGGGCGACCTCGCCGGCGCTCCTGGGCGCGCCCGCGCCGGGCACGGCGTCGGCGCTGGCTCTCCTGGGCGAGGGGGGGGGCCGCTCTCAGGCGAGGGACCCCTGGTCTCCTGGCGTCTCAATTTTGCGAGCCGGGTGTTTTCGCCTTTTCCGGGCCCCCGGACCGTCACAGATCGAGCCTGTTTGAAAAATTATCCCGGCAAAGCAACCTAACAGCGATGTGTAGGAGCATATCTGGAAGCATTCCCCTTAAGATTCGGATGGGAATCCAGTTGTAGAATTCTGCTGTTCTCGCAGTCGTAGTCGCATTCGCGATGACAGTCGCAGTCGCAGGCAGTCGCAGCCTCAGCCTCAGCCTCAGCCTCAGCCTCAGCCTCAGCCTGCCTCAGCCTCAGCCTGCCTCAGCCTCAGCCTCAGCCAGCCTCAGCCTCAGCCTCGGCCTGCCTCAGCCTCAGCCTGCTCAGCCTCAGCTCAGCCTGCCTCAGCCTCAGCCTCAGCCTGCCTCAGCCTCAGCCTCAGCCTCAGCCTGCCTCTGCCTCAGCCTCAGCCTGCTTCAGCCTCAGCCTCAGCCTCGCCTCAGCCTCAGCCTCAGCCTCAGCCTCAGCCTCAGCCTCAGCCTCAGCCTCAGCCTCAGCCTGCCTCAGCCTCAGCCTCAGCCTGCTTCAGCCTCAGCCTCAGTCTGCCTTCAGCCTCGGCCTCAGCCTCAGCCTGCCTCAGCCTCAGCCTGCATCAGCCTCAGCCTCAGCCTCAGCCTGCCTCAGCATCAGCCTGCCTCAGCCTCAGCCTCAGCCTGCCTCAGCCTCAGCCTCAGCTGCTTCAGCCTCAGCCTCAGCTGCCTCAGCCTCAGCCTCAGCCTCTCAGCCTTCAGCCTCAGCCTCAGGCCTCAGCCTGCCTCCTCAGCTCAGCCAGCCTCAGCCTCAGCCTCAGCCTCAGCCTGCCTCAGCATCAGCCTCAGCCTCAGCCTGCCTCTGCCTCAGCCTGCTTCAGCTTCAGCCTCAGTCTGCCGTCGGCCTCGGCCTCAGCCTCAGCCTGCCTCAGCCTCAGCCTGGCATTCGGATTCGCAGTGGCAGTCGCAGTGGCAACATCAGCGGCAGTCGCAGTGGCACTGCCAGTAGTTGCAATAGCAATAGCTACACTAGCAGCAGCAACAGTGGCCCGGGAGTGGAGTTCTGGGAAGTGGAAGAGCACGAAGTGGCCTACAGTTGGCTCCGGGCATTCAAAATGTGGCCCAGGAATGGTGTTCTGGGAAGTCCAAGAGCACGAAGTGGCCTACAGTTGGCTCCGGGTATCCAAAATGTGGCCCGGGAATGGGGTTCTGGGAAGTCGAAGAGCACGAAGTGGCCTACAGTTGGCTCCGGGCATCCAGAATGTGGCCCGGGAATGGAGTTCTGGGAGGTCGAAGAGCACAAAGTGTGTGACTGTTGGCGAAAAGCGAGCCCGGCTCTGTTCCCAGTTCTGTTCCCGGTTCTCCTCCCCGGCACCCGCCCAGACCCCCCTGAGGAGTCATGATGCTCTCTTTTGACTCTACTAGAAACCTATCAGCAAACGCTGTTAGGTAATGACGCGGAAAGATGGGGTGCGGAGGTACGGTCGTGATTTCATACGACGTTGCATTTTTCCCCAACCATCATGTGGCGTTGGGTCCTCGTTTTGAAGAGACAGCGCCCCGCGTTCCTTCCTTCCTTCCTTCCCTCTTCGTTCCCTCCTCTTCGCCCTCCTCCCTCCTCCCATCCCTGCTTCTGCCCTGCGCATGTTCTAGTCGTCGTCGTCGTGAACATCATCATCATCATCATCATCATCATCATCATCATCATCATCATCATCATCATCATCATCATCATCATCATCATCATCATCATCATCATCGTCATCGTCATCATCGTCATCGTCATCGTCGACATCGTCATCGTCATCATCATCGTCATCGTCATCGTCATCGTCATCGTCGTCATCGTCATCATCATCATCATCATCGTCATCATCATCATCATCATCATCATCATCATCGTCATCGTCATCATCATCACCGTCATCGACGTCATGATCGCGGTTTTCGCATGCGTCTCCCCCACCCAGCATAAGGTTTCGCGGTCCTATAAGGAGCCCCACCTAAGGCCTTAGTGGCAGTGTTTGCGTGCGTCTCCCCCGCCCAGCACAGCGTTTCGATGGCCCCATACGGAGCTCCACCTACGGCCCCAGTGGCGGTGTTCGCATGCGTCTCCCCCACCCAGCGCAGCGTTTCGCGACCCCACAACGAGCTCCACCTACGGCCCCATTGGCGGTGTTCGCATGCGTCTCCCCCACCCAGGACAGCGTTTCCTGGCCCCACATGGAGTTCCACTTAAGGCCCCAGTGGCAGTGTTCGCATGCGTCTCCCCCACCCAGGACAGCGTTTCGTGGCCCCACATGGAGTTCCACCTAAGGTCCCAGTGGCGGTATTCGCATGCGTATCCACCATCCAGACCAGCGTTTCGCGACCCCACAATGAGCTCCACCTACAGGTCCCAATGGCGGTGTTCGCACGCGTCTCCCCCACCCAGGACAGCGTTTCGTGGCCCCACAGGGACTCCACCTACGGTCCCAGTGGCGGTGTTCGCATGCGTCCCCCCTACACAAGACAATGTTTCGCGGCTCCATCCCGCTCAAACCTCCGTGGTGCAGACTACCCGTCGGTCGGAAACACTGAGTAGACACATGAAGTCGAAAGACGTTAAAAATGGATTGGGCTTCCGCCCGCCCCCTGAAGAGGAGGGACGAGGGAGTACCACTCGACTCTGAACGTAGGAAAGCGCCTAACATAGAGGGGGGATTTCGGAATCCGAACAGACCCGCCTTCAACAATCGGCACGCACTGGGCCGCAGGCTGCGCGCGGGCGTGCCCAGGGGACCCGGGCAACGGTGAGGAGGAGAGCGCTGTTCGTGCTTCCGGCAGCGGGATCGTTGCAGTCGGGGTCGATTGGAGAGGACACGCGACGGGACACCACGCCCTTCCGAGGGCCACAGTGCCACAGGAATGTAGAAGGCATGGGTCGTGAAACACGGGGCACGATGGGAAGTACCCTTGATTTGGCAGGGTCGCCCTACTAATCAACCTCGACTGCACACGAGGGGTATCCAGCCTGCCAGTCCTCGCAGCTCGCGCGTCATTGCATCAGCACGCCCTGCAGCCGTGGCGAAGTCATCGCCGATACTCAGTTGCAACCCACGGCGCGCAGACCCGAACGGCCTGCTTGTACCAACGGGTGCTCACGGCCAGGTGGCACGGGCATCCCGATTGCTGCAGCCTTCGCATGGCATCGCGCACGCAAGCTCTGCAGAAGGGGCGCTATCTGCGAAGGGGGAGATCCACGTAAGTAAAAGCCTGCTGGGCGAGGCCCATCGGAGAGGGCTGTTTTTGTCTCCTCACCGGGGCTTGACCAATTCTGACGTGGGACAACGACAAGGGATCCCCCAGACAGACTTGCCAGGGCGGCTTGCATGGCAGCAAGCGACAAAACAAGGATGAGCAGGAGGAGCAAGGATTGTAAGGGACGAGGGAATTCGCAAGATGACGAGTACTCTGAGTCCAAGCATGATCGAAAAAACCCTGGGACCAAGCATAATTCGCCGGCCCATCGGGCCAGAGGCGTGCTAAAGTCTCCGGTAAAAGAAATTTCTTGTACGCGCGCGCTGGGCGGCACCCTCTGGGCACACAGACGAACAATATCTGCCCAAGATCCCAGCAAGATCGGGATCAGGAATGCTGGAACTGGAACTCCTGGGCGCGGCCCTCAATGCTCCCCAGGAACACCCCAGGAGGCGCCGGGTAGGGGGCAGGCCCCACGGCTTCAGGCCAAGAGCGCGCCGAAATGGCCAAACATGATTTCAGGACAGTCCCAGAGGCGCCGAAGACGGCCCCGGAAAGCTCCTTGAGGACCCCCAGAGGGACCCAAGAGGAAGACTTTTCTGATGTTGCAAGAGAAGGTGAAGGATTTTGGCGACACCGCCTTTGCGAGCTTCTCGCCGCCCAGGAAAGCCGAGGAGGCCGCCCGAATCGCCCCAAATCCGCCCAGAACGCTCCCGAGACAACCCCGAAACGTCCCCAGAGAGCCGTCAGACAAACCAAGAGGCCTCTAATGAGGGCTCTCCAGGCCCCCGAGAAGGCCTCACGAAAGGGGATCCGAACTCGCATGTCGAGCCCTGCTCGAACAATTGCCCTTGAGACCACCAGCAGGCACCCGCGAGGCCCCAGAAGGTCCCAAACTTGTCTCCGAGAGGCCCCCGCGAGAGCCCCTTGGGTCTCCGCGGGCCCCCGAGAGAGCTCCCTGGACACCTCCAGCAGCCTCCCAACGAGGCGTCTTGTCCACAACCTGGTTCGGTTCCGCGCCTGCCCCAAGAAGCCATTGAGAGGCCTCCTCCTCCTCCTCCTCCTCTTCCCTTTCTCCTCCCTTTTTCCTCCCCCTCCCCATTCCTCCCTTCCTCCTTTCCTCCCTGCTCCTCCTCCTCCGCCTCCCTCCTCCTCCTCCTCCTCCTGCTCCTCCTCCTCCTCCTCCTCCTCCTCCTGGACGATCCAGGAGGCTCCGTGGCCACGAAGACGCAGGCAACGCGCGCGATGGGACAGTCTGGGCCGGCGGAATGATTGGAACGATTAAAGAAATGCTTGAACGGATCGCCTGAGCCGCGTCTCTCGACATCACGCAGATCATAGCAAGCAACAAAAGCTGATAAGCCGGCTGGGGGTCAATACCGAGGCGGGACTGCTCATGTCCGATCGCCGCCTTGAGCGCTGTGCTCCCATGAGAGAGGACGGGGAGGGTCCTCCATGTAAAATTCCAGGTCTAGCATTCGGAGAAAGACGACGAATGTGATAGGGATGGGTTGATGTCGACGAGAGAAATGGGGAGGAGCAGAGAGAGAGAGAGAGAGAGAATTATCCCGGCAAAGCAACCTAACAGCGATGTGTAGGAGCATATCTGGAAGCATCCCCCTTAAGATTCAGATGAGAATCCAGCTGTAGAGTGCTGCTGTTCTCGCAGTCGTAGTCGCATTCGCGATGACAGTCGCAGTGGCCTGCATTAGCCT